AAAATCATATATATATATATCATACTCCTTTTAAAAGTACGAGTTCGGAAAAATCTTTCTATGACCAATATTACCCTTAGTTTTTTTTTAATATTATATTGTTATCCTAATCTATTCTAATTATCTTATCTTATTTGAATTGGTAACAAAATGATTTATACTTTTCATAATGAGACTTAACATGTTATTGGATAAAATAGATATGTTTCATATAATTCAAATCTTTAACTTATTTTAGTTTGTAAAGAAATCTAAAAAATAATGCTAGCTAACACCTAAAAGTTTTTGGACTTTGTAAAAAATATTCTCCAAGTTTTTTAAATAACAAAAACTCACCTACAAATTCAAAGTTTTATTAAAGCATCTTAAAAATTATAAATTTTACTTATCTCAATTCAGTGAGAAATCTGAAAATATATGCTAACTAGAAACTGAAAGTTTTTTACTTTGGAAAAAATATCTTGTAAGTTTTAAAAATTACAAAAACACCCTTAAAAATTTAAAATTTATAAAACACACCTTGAAAATGTCAAACTTATAAACATACTAAAAACCTACAAATAACACAAACAACCCCCAAAAATTTATGGAATTTGCAATACACACTCTAATTTTTTTACAAATTATAAAATAAAACCCTCAAAATTATAAAATTTATAAAAATCCTGATAATTTATGACCTAACAGTACATTAAAAATATAAGAATTATAAATATTCCCTACATAATTTATAATTTATAGAAAACACATTATAAATATTCCCTACATAATTTATAATTTATAGAAAACACCCTTAAAGTTTTAAAAATTAGAAACAAACATTTAAAATTCAAAATTTATTATAGAAAACACCCTTAAAGTTTTAAAAATTAGAAACAAACATTTAAAATTCAAAATTTACAAAAAACAACTTAAAATTTTTAAAGTTATTAGTAAATTGAAAGCATAGGAAGTATGAATGGTCTATAAACAATTTACAATATGTAAAAAAGACCTATAAGTTTAAAAAATTACGAAAAGTCCTTAAAATTCATAATTTACAACAAAAAAATCCATGAAAATTTCTAACCTACAGACACTAAAATGAATATGCAAAACTACTAACAACTCCTAAAAAATTAAACTTTTGTAAAAAAATATCATACACCTTTTAAAAGTATAGGTTTAGGAAAAAAATTTCATGATAAATATTACCCATAACTTTTTTAAAAAGAACATAACTAATTAAAAATCTATTAAATTTGAAATTTATAAAAAAATAGCCTTAAAGTTTAGTACATTGCAAATTACCCCTCCAAAGTTTAAAAATTTTCAATGTTTTTTTATAATTTCTTGATTTCAATGTAATGTTTAATAGTTTTGTGTATTTGTAAATTATAAATTTTAGAGTGTTTTTTTTACACTTTTTAAAACTTTTGAGGGTGTCTATTTTGTAGTTTTCTAAAATTTCATTGTGTTTTCAGTGTAATGTACATACACATCAACGAATGATGATATTGAAAAATAAGTCGTTCTTAAGATTATTAGACCATAGTTAAGTATGCACATCACTATTCCTGTTTTATTCCATAGTTACGCATATCAAATTAGTAACTAAAATAATAATTATTTATACTTAAATTAGGATGATTGTAGTTGGTCACTCACTATGAATTTTTTATGAAAATATATACCTTACTTTCTATAGTTTTCTGCACTACCCATGTAAATTTTATAAATTAGTTCTTAATTTGGCATATTAAATTATTTTTCCTTTTTAAAAATTTTTTCTTTGACTTTTAGACTGTTTAATCACTATATCACCATTCTAGCATAGAAATGACCTCACTCTAAATGGCTTCAAGCCAATGTTTGAGTTTCACTGAAGTATATATTATTGTTACTATATGTATATATTTTTTAAGAAAATCATGTCAACACTTTTTAAATAGAAGAGAACATTCTAACCTCTGATATTATAAAAATTAAATATAGTCGATTGAATGTTTAACAAAAGAGAACTTACATCAGAAAAGTGTGAATAATACGATAAAGAGGAAAGATAATGCATTACAAATAGTACTACAAATAGCAAACTACAATGTTAACCTATTTTGTGGAGCCCAACTACTGGCTATAAGCATCGAGG